TCACGGGTTCTCCTTCTCTGGTGGGGGAGAGAGAGTGCTAGAATTGGATAGAGAGTAAGCTAGAATGGGATAGAGAGTAAGAATAGAATAAGAATAGGATAGGAATATAATAAGAATAGGTTAAGACTAGGGTAGAGTAGAATAAGTTAGAATAACTTAAAGTAAGTCATTGTTTGGAAAGTAGTCGGAATAAAATTTATAGTAAAGTACAGAATAAGAAAGGTCCTTGTAAATAATAAATGTTCTTGTGTTTTCCTGGAGCCACTGAGCTGCCCCAGCCCCAGAGAATGGGCCGGAAAGGCCCTCACAATATATTTAACTCCGTGTTAACCATCTGCGCAAGTTCGATCCTAAAATCATAAAGTAGCCGTTACAAGCTATTACAGGTAATTAAAATATTTGGCCATGTTTTGCATAAATATTGTCTTGTATTCATTTATGTAATATTTAAATCAACGCATGTTGCTAGTGCTCAATGTCTCTTTTTTTAGTCTAAGAATTCAATTCATTAGTCTAAAATTAAAATAATAATAATAAATCAACGCAAGCACATGTAGTACAATTATAGAAAAGCAATTAACATACATCCGCACAATACAAAAATCAAATTAATTTTCTGTTTGGATTTAGATTTGACAAAAATGTCTTTTGTTCAATTAAGTAAGCAGTGAAGTTTTGCCTGAAATGGTTTTCGTTTAAGTATTCCTCCATTTTGTTACTGCTTTGTCTTTTCCCAAAACTATTTTCTGTTTAAATTCTCACGCATGCAGTTGTACTTATGTGTTTGCTTTTCCATTTATTTAAGTATGCATTTATGCAGCAGTGGTACAAATAAAATCCTCATAGTTTTTCATAAATTTATAAGTACTTTGCTTTAAAGGAACCTTTGCAGGTTGATGATAGCTGTAAAGTGTTCCGTTTAAAGCAGAACTGTTTTGTAGAGGTTGATGAAGGTTCTACCAGTTCACCGTGTTTAAAAAGATATAAAATATAAACAAATAAAAGGCAATTTTTAGTGTATAAGATTTAGTGCGTAATTCTAATTTAAAATAATTTAAAATAGTAATTTAAAAAAATGTAGAAAATGTAATATATTGTATAAATAACTTGAAATTAAAAATAATTGATCGTTGTTTTATTTTTATTTTACTAATACTAAACAAGATATGTATATATATATATATATATATATATCAGACCAAATGTTCTTATTTTTCTTTTCAGGTTATATTAATATATATATTTATTTTATTTATATTATATTATTTGTATTTTATATATACATATTTATTTTATCTTTATATATATGGCAAATGTGCCGAACTCAGTTCTTAGTAAGCTGTTGCGTCAACACCCAGAGATGTGGGGTGTTGGCGGACGTAGGCCTTGCAAGTTAGAACGCAAGAAATTTGCTGACAGACTGACGGCGATAACTGGCCAGTTGGTGACACAATAAAATAGTGCAGATGCACTTCGATAATATTATAATATTAATAAATAATATCATTTATCATATGATAATTATTATTTTGTCGATGTTTGTGTACAGGTGGCCTTTACAACTTTCCAATGTATTTATGTGCAACTTTTGAAAATTCTGAAATTTTTAGCAAATAAGAAAAAAAAAATTGCTAAATAAGTGTTAGAAAATCTATATTAAAGAAAGGAAATTATTTTAACAATCAAAACAAAAATTATTAAACTATAATACGAATTCTAGCGTTATTAAAGTACATGATTCTTAACACGATCAGGGTTCTTTGTAGAGTGTACAATGTTATATTTATCTGTTTGATCATCAAGGATGCTGCTCTACGGGTTTGCCTTTAGTGTCATTTTTTTGCTTGTTCGGTGATACGTATTTTCTTATACTTACATTTCAATGTCTATCCCTTTGGATTACAACTATTCTGCCTAATTTCTGTGATCTGTCATGTTATTTGTTGCGTTACTGGAGTTATCATACTTTTTAAACTTTAGTTTGAAAATATTTCATCGGCTGGTAATTTATATATGTCGATGATTAAATTAAATTCAAATAACAAATTACGCACTTACAAAAAATCCACCAACATGTGAAGTATTGTTACTAAGATGTAGCTTTTGCTTATTTTCATACGGTACCTCAAGGAGGTACGGAAAACCGCGCCATGTAATATAGAACTAGAAGTGGTACTCATGTTTTGCTATTTGGGAAATATTATCGGTATATGAAATACATATGTTACTTAACTTTTGAGCCTAATATTTTTCTGCAGGATTTACCCCTATCTTTGTCAGTCAGTTTTAAATTTTATCAAAGATCGCACTGTTTTGGAAGTAGACAAAGAGTGCTATGTTTCTTTTACGAAAGTGCCTACACGCCATAAAGTGTGCGATTTAAGTATCCTAATTCGCATTTCCAGACAAGTTGTGCGTACACATGTCGTACATCCTAAATTAGTTTTGGATACTTTTATGTGTTTGGATTGTCAAACGGAAATACGCAGTGTAGAACAACAATTCAAATTACAAATCCCTCTATTTGCCGTAATCCGTGTTCTAATTGTCGACGATTCATGTTGAATGTTGAAAAAAGTTTTTCATTGAGGCTACCGGTTTTATTGAAAACTGAACCGCATTTGGGATACAAGAATTATAATTTATAAATCCTCCGTTAATAGCCTTTCCAACGATGTGCGGGTTATGTTAGGTTTTGCAAGGAGAATTTTTTATGGGACTTTTCCGTACTTAACATAATATTTTTGTACGAGTACTATAGTACTACAGCATAGTCCAAAGAAAGCGTAGAAATTTTTGTACGTTTACCGACAACAGATTATGATTAGTGAGCAAAAACCCAAAACAGGTCTATTTTACGTGGTGCTGTGGGCGTGCTCTCCAACCGATCTGACCCATTTTTAGTAGCAATCCCTGTGTAAGAACTTTCAATATTTTTGCCGAATTTGAAGTCGATAGCTTCATTTTTCCGTCTTTTTACTTTTCCTCAACCTCCTCAACAACCAAATGAAGCTGCTAGGTGCAGCGCAGTCGCCAAATACATCTAACTAGAGAGAGAGAGAGACGCACAAAAAATTGAAAAACTTAAATTTAATCACTTGCAACTTTGTGTGCATGAGTGATTTCTTCAATATTTGCGCGTAGCGAGTAAAGAGCTTCGGAAAGTAAATATGGACAATTTCAGGGTTCTAACTTTAATAATTTCCGAGTAACGAGCAAAAATCCAAAAATTTTTGTTAAAAAGAACTGAGTTGCTCACGCGTTTTTGCTCTGACCAATTTGAGCCAACTTCAATATTAACCAACGTTTCTACCAAATTTGAAGTCGATATCTTCATTTTTGTGATCAGGAGAGTGCCAAAAACATACCAGACAAATACACAGACGGACAGACATGGTTAGGTCAACTCAGAATTTCACACTGATCAAGGATATATATACTTTATAGGGTCTCTGAAGCTTCCTCCAGCTACAATACGGTCGATTCGATTTCCGTTTATTCCTAATTACTAAAAATTATTCGTTGACATTTACTTTTAGAAAATTTGGAGACTACTCAAAAAACTTACGATTTTTAATAACGAAACAAGAAAAACTTATGACAATAAATAAAAAGCAATACTGACATTTTTAGTTTTATAAGCTTAGAAATTTAGACATATATAAACACTCTGCACATCCCTCCCTCTCTTAGAGAAAAAGCATCGATGCTGTGTAAATGAAATGTGGGTGTTATCGTGGCTGTGTGCGTTGTCGGTAAATTGTTGAATCTTCCTTTTGGGTATTACATACATTGCTAATTTTTATTTTTTGCGCAAATCCCCATGCAAATCTAATTTATATACCTCGTGTATTTCTAATTGTCGCTTTTCTAAAAGTTCGTTATTTACGCATTCTCTTTTTCGCCCTCTCTCTCTCTCCCTCAGTGCCTTAAAAAAAAGGTTAGATCAACATACATAGAAGAGGAAAAAAAACGATTTAATATTTGCAAGAGCAATAAATGCTGTTGTTAACATTCGTTTACACACAAATCCACGCAAAAGTAAAATGCACTGAGCAATGCGAGATAATCATTTCGAAATTCTTGACTTTGATTGTAAGCATTGTTTCTGCAGCAGTCTATGTTCTAAAAAACAATTTTCAAACTCCAATAAAAAGATTATCAGAAATTACATTCTTGATACTTTTATTGTACTTTCATGATACTTTTATTTTACTTTGGATGGAAGGATGAGAGGTATATTAATTTGTTAAAATGTTTGCAACGCCCAGCGGCGCCACAAAATGTACATATTCGATCGGTTCTGAACTGATTAAGCCATATCTGTCAGTCCGTCCGTCTATATACTGTCCGTTGTAAACATTTTCCTGGCCGCAAAAACGAAGCTATCGACTTCAAATTCGGCAAAAATATTGAAAGTTCTTACACAGGGGTTGCTACTAAAAATGAGTCAGATCGGTTGGAGGGCACGCCCACAGCACCACGTAAAATATACCTGTTTTGGGTTTTTGCTCACTAATCATAATCTATTGTCGGTAAATGTACAAAAATTTCCACGCTTCCTTTGGACGATGACTTGTACAAAAATATTATGTTAAGTACGGAAAACTCTCATAAAAAATTCTCCTTGCAAAACTTAATATAACTCGCACATCGTTGCAAAGGCTATTAACAGAGGATTCACTATGTGCTAATTTCATTTTTTCACAGGACATGACTGTAGCTAGGGAAAGCATCGCCTTATCAACCTCATTTATGATATAATGTAAAAATGTTGTCCTTTCGAATATTAATTAATTTACATAAAGTCATGTTTTGTTTATAATAGTTTGCAAAAAAATTCTCGAAAAGTTCTATTTTACTTGTATTTTCAATTAAATTCCTCCGAGACTTTGTTTAACAGAATTCTGTTCACGACTTTACAGAGCTCTGCAAAAAATGGTTTGTGTCTTTGCTAGTTATATTTATATATAACATCACACCCTTAATTGAGTTGTATTCATTACAAAACGAACATAACATTCCTTCGGCTGCATAGTTTTACTCAGCAACGCTGCAATTTTTATTATGTTTATTTTTGCTTGTAATGTAAAATTTACTATTTAAACTACTTCAAATTTTCCCATGCAACAATTGAAATGGTCAACTGTGTGCTTGATCGAAGGCAACTCTTTGGTATTTTCCTCAATTTCTGTTATAATGTTGTGAATTTTTGCGAGAATCTCCTGAGATTCGGGGGGAGTTAAATTATTAATACATGGCTGCTGTTCTACTGTAGATTTAATGGCAGAATCGACACTCTTTTCCAAGGTTTCATGAGGTTCAACTTGCTGGGTTAACTTTTGTTTCGGTAATTCTACGCCCAATCTGCTGACCAAATTATTCAATAAAGCCAGACGTTCATGCATTCGTTGACGTTCAGTTTGTAACAGCTGAGTTTGGGCAGCTCTCTCATATTCCCGTTGCTTTAGCATACGCCGTTGTGTTTGATAAAGGGCTATATATTCGCCAATTGTTTCAGTTTCACCTTGTAATTGTAATACTATATGTTCTAAGCGTTGTTTTTCTTCAGTCAAATCAGCCACTTGACTCATAAGTTTGGTAAAACGTTGTTGTAACTTTTCCACAGCTTCTTCGGTAGCCAAGTGCGATGATGATGGAGCAGGCGAAATCGCGGTCTCTTCCATAGATTCTTTAAAATCCACTAAGCACTCTTCAGTAACTTCTTGACAAGAATCATGCATGGAAGTATTCTCAAACTGATGGTGATGTTGATCCGCGTGATGATGGTAAAAGGCTTCTTTATTCAGGCCCATATTTTTATGAACATGTTCCTCGTGATAGTCATATTGAAATTCAGGCCGTTTTTCCAAAATGTCCGAGCCATCCTCCGCATTTGTTTTCTCCTCCTCCCTAACTTTCCCCTTTTCCATTCGTTGAAGGATTTCATTCTGTCTTCTTAATTCCTCATTTTCGTGAGATAAACGTATCATTTCCTCATCTTTGAATTTGAAACGTTCGTCAATGTTTTGTAAGCGATTTTGCATGGTTTTATAATTTGTCTGCATTTCTCGATTGTTGTACTGTTCAGAATCTAAGCGATTCATTAGTTCTGCTTTATCGTTTGTCAACTGTACAAAACGCCCTTCCAACTCATCTAATTGTTTCTTTAGATCAGCGTTCTGCATTAAAGCTCTTGATGCTGCGACCTTATCTGATTCCATGGTAGCCAGCAATTTTTTTTTATCTGGCTGGTCAGATTCCATTTGATCAAGATGTCCTTGCAATGCATATAGTTCCTCCTGCTTATGCTCTAAATCTCGTTGTAGTGTCTCCAACCGATCTTCCTGGGATTTAATCTTTAATTGAAATTCATGACGCTCAAACTCGTAATCACTAATACGTTCTTCTAATTCTTTTAATTGCTGCTGAGTGTCAGTATCCTGTAAAATATTACCTGTACTTTTGTGAACGCACGTACCCTTCATTCTACTTACTTTTTGATTTTTTCTCTTAAACTCATCCTGTCGGCTTAAATTCTTCTGTATTTCCTTTTCCAATTGCTGAACATGCTCCACTAATTGGCGCTCGCGTTCAGCTTGCTTTGTCGTCTCATCCGTTAATTCTCCATTACGTTCATTTAGTTGCTGCACTTGAGAGTTCAATTGCTGCACGTAAGTCTGATACTGTGTACTAGCCTGTTCCTTATCTTGGGTCAATTGCTGCACCATAGCCTGCAAATCTCGTATCTGTTGCTCATACATGAACTGCGTTTGTGTTAAAGTTTCTACTCGATTATCTTTATTGATGTTGTTCTCGTCTGAAAGTTGACGTATACGAAGTTGCGCCAACTCCAATTCACTACACTTCGCTCTGTATTCGCTGTTTAAATCCCCTAAATTTTTGTCTTTGATGTCCAATTGTATCTTTAATTCGTTCAAATGTGTGATTTGATCTTCACTTATTCCCCGTGTTTGGGCCAATTCATGCTGTAATTCAGCATTATGGAACCTTTCTTGTTCGACATGTTTTTGCTGTTCTTTTAAAATGCATTGTAATTCTTCTAAACGCTTGTTTACATTGGAGTGCTGGACTTTTAACTCTTCTAGCTCTAAATCTTTTTCTTTAGACAATGTTCTATATTTATTTAACTCACTTGTCAACTGAGCCTTCTCATTTATAAGTATTTGAATTGCATTTATTGTGGAAGTTGTATGGTCCTGGACCATGTCTTCTTTTACAGGTGACGACGTCAAGTTATTATTTGTCAAGTTTTCAGGTTGCGCCACTACTAAACTTTCATGGCTGGAAAAATAACTAATAACATCGGTATTTGCTAAGTCTCCCGCTTCTGACTCTATATTGCTTGGAGGGGTTGCGTTACTGCCATTTAATTGTGACTCTGAAAGAGATCTCTCTGATATATTACTGGATATATTACTATTAGGTATTGACTCGTTTATTAGCGAAGAAACCGTGGGTGTGCTTGAGCCGCGTTGCTGATACTCCTTCAACTGAAAGAAGCATTAATGTTATACGAAATCAAAACAATAGTTTTTAATAAGAACTAGACTTGAATGACGTGTCATTCTTTTAAGACCTACGTATTTTACCTTCCTTCTAGCAGCAGCCAATTTCTTTGCTTTGCTTTCCTCAGGCATAATTCTTATTTACGAAAAAAGTACCGTTTCTTTAATTTGAATCAGTTTTTTAATAAAAAATTTTAGATTTTTTCAAACAAAAACCTATTTAGATATCTATAAGAACTGTTTTTGTACAACGACGGTGTTACCATGTACGAAACGAGTTAGAAATTTTCGGCCAAAAAACATTCGTAAGGAAAGACTGAGAATTCTTGGCGATAATGAAATTACCCCCAGCCAATTTTATCGTAAATGACAAAATTTGTATTTCTGTTATGTGGATAATCCATTTTAAAATCCCAGGCAAAGACGAGGATAGCAATGTAAATAAACGCTCGTAGCCAAGAGAGAGTTGTGAGCAATTGAAGTGAATATTCTGTTAAAAAGTCAGCTTAGGTATAGAGAAGTAGCGATTTTTTCCTTTCACATCGCAATTTTAAATCCATTTGTACTTTTAACTAAATAAAAACAAAGAAACTCTCGGCTGTGGTTAATATTTTCCTCCGTTCTCATGATGTCGATAATGTTTTTAAAAAGCGGCGAATCATGTTGTTAATTCGCTAAACAGTCAAGAAGAAGAGTTCGATGCTGATCTTAAACAAAATGTTCTTTGAAAAATGTAATGAAAATTATATGTTCAATACATTTGTAGAATTGGTATATTTATAACACGGTTATGAAATTATCCGCATATCCTTTAAATATTGCGCTAAACGGCTGAGCATTTAATTTAAATGGCTTCTTCCCTGGAAAAGATTCCGTTTGCTTCCTCCCCTTTATTGTTATCATGATTGGGAAAATTTGCATAAAAGATAAAACTTAACATAGGTATTTTTGGTTATGAATTTGATAGTTTGGACACTCACAGGCAAAAAAACTCCAATTTATAAATCCCTGCCAAAAAGTAGTGTAAGATTTAAACTATTATTTGGTAAGATCTTTTAGAATATCAATGCGTAAATGGGCGGGATTGGCTTAAAACCATGTCCACACTAAGCAAAATATATAAATCATCTGTGCACGAATTGTTAGACTAGTGTACAAATTCTAGATCTTGTTTTTGATATTCAATTTTAAATTCCTTTTTTCTGAGTACGCTTCTGTTGCCCAAGTTTTTCTCTTCTCATGTGGGTATTTGCATACCCACATTTGACACTCCTCATATCTTGCCAAGGTAATTAAATTCTTAATAGAAACAAAAATGTTTGACTTAGCAACACTGGCTGAAGAAGTGCTTGCAGTAAAATAAAATCTGTGAAATTTCAGACATAATTCAAAATAATTATTTTTTTGGTCTTATTGCATATATAAAATAAATATAATATGGTAAATACATATGCACACTGTTTTTTTTTTTGTTATTTCAGTGTTTGGGTACATTATATTTAAAAGATCTAATGCAGTTGTAGTTTTTTTAAACATTATAACGAATCTGTTTTTTTAGGGATCAAACGAAAGAAATCGATCGTCAAAAACAGAAGACGCCGGCTCCGTTGATTCCGTTTCACCGCCTAAGAAAATGCGATCAGAAAGCGGAGGTAAATATATAAGTATGTAACAATTTTCACAAAATCTTTTATGTATGTATGTATATCGACATATATCAAGACTTATGCTTTGAATATTCAAATTTTTTCCTATTTTGGCTGCGTTAGAAGCTATATACTTTTTTCTGGTTATCCGACTGTCAATTTAAAAGATATACTCTATTTCAGCACATTTTGCAGCTAAAATAACGTTTCTCTAATACGAAGATTTTTCTGCAACGAGCGTAATTATTTTGGCGACAAGTCCTTTAAATTTCGGTTTAATAACGGCAATATTGAAATATGTCGAAGAGTTGATCATCTAGAATAGTAATGTCGAGCTTTTCGAATGATGTAGCACTCCCATAATTTAACCAATAAAATCAACACTAGTTGTTTTCTACCTATAGGAAATTTTGAAGTATGAGAAGCTATTGTTGGATTTTCAGTATTTAAAATAGCCACCCAACGTTGCGTTACCCTTGCTGGCGCCAAATCTACTTTATTTAATACAAAGATGTGTTTATGAGGTTTCTCTTTACGTAAGAATTCTTCAATATATTTGAATATAGTTCCCATAGAATGTCTAGCATCTAGCACCTGTAGTAAAACATCCGAAGAACAAACCACTTTATGTAATTCGTTCTAGATCCTTTTACTTTGGCCTGCGGCAAAGCCTCAATCTCCTTTCTCGCCAATGTCTTCTCGCACCAAATCAGTGAACTTATATTATAGTGTGTTCGTTTCACTTTGTTACGAAACAGTGAGGTTTTTGGAATATAACATTTTGGCGGGTAAATTTAGACAGAAAACTATGAACAGATGAATAGTTCTTCTTCACGAAGAAGGTTTAATGCTTGACTTGGTTGCCATTTATTGGAGGCATACAAAAAAATATACGCTTCCTCGTTACTTCTTACTGTTCGCACTAACACAGTAAACCAACACTGTAAAGGAGGCATATATAACGAATAAAAGTTGGAAACCATTCTTATAGCAAACAAAAGAGAATAATAAGCAATAGCCTTACTCTCTTTAAATGCTTTTTTGTCTGTCTGTCCTATGTGAATTTGTGTTCAAGGTACAGGGCATAATCTTTATGACATTTTGACGAACTTTTGTACACTGACATGTTTTTGCGGACGAACGCTGTTGAAAATGCTTTGGATCGGACCACCTTTTCGGCTGCTTCCCATATAACGTTCCAAGGTCAAGTTATTAATATATTGCTTGTAATGCAAAGCATAGAAGCATTGAGAAAATTATATAAAAAATTGTTAAGGCATTTTACTAGTTAATTTCGCGCCAGTTGTCTGATTGGAAACTTCCAGATAACCTTTGTGCTTGGGTCAATATCTACAATTGGGTTTACGTAGCGAAGTTTTGCTTTTTTATCCGACCATTAATACGTTTAATTTGCGGCCTTCAATCAAGAGCTTATTCGTAGAGTTTCAGTTTTCTCTTTCAACTTTCATGGACAAGACGTAGGGTGGACGAACGGACATTTTCAAATCCATTCAGAATCGTATATTGTTACGTAATAATGCTATATTTTCATGTTAATTGCAAAAATACCGAAACCTCAGCGCCAGCATTCAGTAGCGCTATGATGCGACATTGCTTTCGAACCGCAGCTAAACGACTTATAAGCTTGATTATTGTTTACATCATTGTATTATATTTTTCGCGGTAATCGTGTCTCTATTTATAAGTCTTTCTCAATAGAAAAATGTTTCAAGTGTTATTAATGGGAATTGCATAATTTTTTTTTTTTAGTTTTCCTCAACAATAACTATAATGTCTATGCTGAAACAAATTGGTTTTATATTAAGAAGAATGCATTCTTTATTTGGCAATGAAAGAATATCTTTCATTCAGACGGATTGAATATTTAAAGTCTTTGCTGATCAAGTTTACATGATGGCTCATAGAGAAAAATATTTTGCTTTTCACCTTATTATAACAAACGGCGTATATGTTTACTAAGAATTTTTTAATTGAACAATTCTCACTTTAATTATCTCGCTGTCCTCCTTAGAATTGTTCATATATTTAAAGGAATCAAGCAAAAAAATCGGAGAATGAATTCGGGCCATATTCTTCTCTATCGTGAGGTTTTGAATTGTTCGGCTGAAACTTTTTAAACTTGGTTAGTGCTTTGATATTGAAAATGAATCTCAAAGAAATCGAAATTTTTCCAAAAGGTTTATCTCAAATCTAACGTAAGTTTGAAACAACACCGCAATCAAAATCTAGGTACGTCGTCACTTTATGTTAGAATGCAATGTGAAGCAATTCTTTCAGCGAGTAAGTTGCAAAACTGTTATCAAAAACGACGACCCAACATATAAAATTGGGTTAATCATTACAATTCTTATCTACCTTGCAATATCGAGTTTCGCTGCCAGATACGGCGACTTTAACTTACTAAATTTTAATTGATCAGAAAAATGGAGGAAAATAAACAAATCAACTCAATTATATTGAAATATCAACTGAGAATATTTGCATCCCAAAGCTATGGAAAGCAAAACTTTTCTACCAAATAAATAATTTTTTTGCGTGGACTTAGCGATTATGCAAATTCTAGCGTATGGAGCTGATTCTCTGGCGCTTTTTGCTAATTTACAAGCAAAATACACTTAATTTCCATCACATTTTTATTAGGTGTTTTGTTGGCCCGTTTGCAAAGCTCAATAGCACATTTTAATCACTTTATAAGGTAGGAGAATCGTTAATTATAGTGCCATACTATAGCCGAAAGATGCGTTTGCGATATATTGTGTTTCATTGCTTCAAATTTCGCCATTTCTGGGAGTGATACTCAGCTATTGGAACCGTCAGCAATTGGTCCAAGAAATTTAGAGGTGCAATTTTGATAAGCAAGATGAAGACTGCAGCTGCCGCCAAGCAACGACGGGTGCGGACCTCATCAAGAGTATGCTCATTAAAAATCCGCGATGTAGTGTGCGCGAGGTAGTGGATGCCACTAAAGTTCCCAGAATGACGGTACATGATCATTTAATCAAGATGAAATATGTCATCTATTGATTTCGCATCAATAAATAAGTAAGAAACTTTTAGGACGCTCTAATATATACAGGCGATAGACAACATAATATGAACAGAATATTAATAAAGTGACGAGCCACCCTTTGCTTGTAACACACATGCAGTTCTTCGCGGATCAGATTTGTAGAGTATCTGAATAGTGTCCAGTGGAATGTTGTCCCATTCTTCCATCAAAAAATTCGCTGGTTAATTCAATGATATTGGAGGTGGCTGCTCTTCACTCTCTGCTCCAAAATTCCCCATAGCGGTTTAATTATGTTGAGGCCCGACGATTGTGCTGGCTAAGGGGTCTTCGATGATCCTCTCATGCTGTGCAAAGCAAAGCTCAACTTTTTTGACTGTGTGTACGGACATATTATCATCTTGGAATATAGTGGTGTTTGGCAGGAACGCGCTAACCATAGCAAGAATTCCATCAGTGAGGATGTCGAAATGTCTATTCGGCCAATAACGTGAGTGAGAGAATCACGGTTTAGCCACCCAGATTATAACTGAATATCCACAGAACAATATTCCAGATTAAGAATTCTGTTGATCGATTAATAAGCATTAAAATGCAACGGCTGAAGAATTCAAAAATTTCTTATTTTTAAAATCAAAGAAAAAAGCTTTTTTTATTTATTCTTTGTATTCTTGTAACCTATAAGTCCACGTTGACCTCAATCTATTCGAACTAATAAGAAGATTTTTTGTGCGCTTAAAAGCTGAGCAACACAGTAGAAAACATTATTTTGGAAGATACTTTTTTAAGAAGATTAGAGGGCCGTTTGCCATTGATTTATTTCACAACTATTGCTTGCATCTAAGAAAAAGCTAAATACTACACGGCATTAGTAAAGCTAGACTTTACATTACAAGCATCGTTTTGGAGAACATATCGCGTTTGCAGACGAATGTTACAACCTCTTACATTATTGTTTTCGTATCCATTCCTGATGTATATATATATATATATATTTTTTATTGAGCAAATATATATGAAGGCATGATATGCAAATATCAAGGGATAGGATATTGTCATGAATCTGGTGGTGTGTTGTTCTTGAACATAAATAGTTATAACTGATTGAGGCTAAAAATTGATTTTTCTCTCTTTATTTTCTTTTTCTTATTTCTTTTTGTATTTTTTTGTACTTTTTTTTTTTTTTTTTTTCTTTAACAAAAACTAGAAGAATAAAACAACTACCGTGGTATACCTAATCACTTGCAAACATTGCAATAGCCAAACGGAGGTCCTGAAATGATTGCTCAAGAATGTGTAAAGTAAAATATTCCACATCAAATGGGCCTTGAAGTGTAATCAATGCTAGTCCACTCCTATAAGCGAAAAGAACAGAGAAATCGTTGATGTGTGTGTTAAATAATACTTTTATTTTTTTTTTTTTTTATTTATGTTTAATAATTTCTTGTCCTCTTTTGCTTTTTAGGATTTTATTCCGTTCTTTTTTATTTTATTTTATTTTGTTTTAACTATGAACATTATAGCACATTAAAAATAAAATTTAAAGAAAATACCCCTTTCCGGCAGGGTTTTTGCCCGAATCTAAATGGGGAAAAGCTGCTATTTATCACACACAGATGGAACTTAGGTAATGAATTAAGTTATCACTTCTTAGAACACATTTTTATATCTATATAAAAATTAATTTATGTACATAACATAGTTCATGTTTATTAACTATCGTTACTCTTTCTCTTTTTTATATCGTTTCAGCGGATCGCTTTTTTCTTTTTCTCTTTCTTTTCTATTTCCATTGGCTGATAATTGCAATGGAAGGTTGAATGAAGGTTTCTCTGCATAAAACTGTTTTCGTTCAATTCTTCTTATCTGCTGAGAAAATCCTATTTGTTAGAGAATAATTGTTGTCAGGCTAAACGAAAACGAACATATATACCTATGTACAATCATATATGGGCTGTAGATTTAGGAAATGGGTAAAATGTGAAATAATTAAAACTTATTCCCTACGTCCGAAAATATGATTTACATTTTAATTATTTTTTTTTTGCCCGAAACAAACATGGAGCATTTTCATTTAAGAAATTATTATTATTATTGTAGAACGTGCTGTCTGATTGTATGATTCGTCTTGAAATCAACATACGTCATACTGCTATTTTTCATCTGCAAGGCCTCCGAGTGTGCGCAATTACGAACAGATCGTCCCAAGAAGTAAAATTTTGAAGTATGCCATTTTCGAGGAACAACTCAATCTATGGGCGTACACATTTTCATGCTTTATATATAATCTCTACGTTATGCATTTTATTTGTACTCTTGCTTGTTCTTAAAAACAACAATTTTATCGGTTTAAAGACAATGATTTCTTCCATCTAATCCAAATTTTTAACACCAATGTAAATCATATTTTCTAAAGGAGGAAATATAAAAAAACCTAAAGTAATGGATGTGCCTGCGAACACTTTTTTAAAGTAGTCTTTATCCAGGACTTCTATCTTTCTACTTCTAATCAAATTTAAAATTTGTACAAATCGTGAGAGAAAATTCAAAGGAAATGGGAGCCATTTTATTCAAAACGTGCTGTGGTTAACGTAATGTTGTTGCATAAGTTTATGTGGATAATTTTTGTGCCAATACCGAATAATTTGCATAATTTGCACAATTCCATTTATGTTAGACACAGAAATCAGCGTCGAAATCTCCACAAATTATGTGTATGTACATATTCTTGATTACTATCACTTATGGATGTCTGTCCATGGGCATCCCTCTATTAGGGAAATGAGCATGCAAGCTCTCTTAGTCGCTTGCACAAATCAGGACTGACAATGGGCGAAGCTCCAGTCATCTAATCATTGTGTAAATAATCACTGAATACACATCCATGCAGTTTTTCCGAGCGGGCTCGAGTTCGTTCGTTCTTTTATTGGAGCACCTTGAAATTTTTCGATTTTTTAATTATTCGCGTTTATTTTTGGCCTTTTGAAATATACATAAATTACGAATAGGCTTGTTAAACCGTGTGGATTGCACTTCAGTAGCGGGCGATAAACTGATGAATGTAGAGGAGTTTAGATATGAAGTCTTTAGAAATTTGGATTCAGGTTGTGTTTAGGTTTTGGGAACGGTCCTTACAAGTGACGAAAACTCTGGGAAACATTACATTTTTCTTAAACTACGATTTGTTCTGATTGAGAATCGCTATAGTTTTCGTCTCTCCAAACCTACCTACCTTTGAAGTTGTGGCTTTATATTTTTAAGTAATATGCGCAAAGGTATTCAGGCATTTTTGCGAATATTCTTTTAACTTTTTTATCTCTTTATTTGGTTTTTGATGTTTCTCTTATGTGCCTGTTGCTTTTCTGTTATATATGTTTAGGTTGAATTATAATCGGTAATCGCAGTCCAAAATATTGAGCTTTGTTTCAAGACCAATGCTGATTTTATATACGAATGAAAAAATTTCGACAGAGAATATTAACGGTATCATTCCAAATAGCGTGGAAAGAGCAGGGCAGTTGCCAAACTCTTCAAATGTCAAGAAATATATGTTGAGATTCTATGCAGTTTATTATGTATATAGACCTATTCAGTGCGAAGACCGGCTCGAGACATGTCTGCCGTAACAATAACATGCGTATACATGTACATATGATTGAAGGGTCGAAGGGTCGACGAAGGGTCTTCGTCGCGTCTTGGTATCAAATATTTTTAACGAACATCGCACGACACTATTCATAGGGAGTGTATGATATTGGTTATATCTGTAGAATGTTGAACTTATTTTGCGTTCGGTTTAGAATATTAATATTATTCTTTTTATTAAGCTAGCCAGAGAAATAAATTCTAACAATAAAATCTTAAAGCACTAGAATCTAACGCTATCGGCTTTATTAAAAACTTTACCGCACTTGAGATTCGGACCCACAAGTATGGATCAGTTTAGAATAAATATGTAATCAGTTTCGTGAATCAAAATGAAAATTGATAACTTTGTAAAACACTGCCCTAGGAGACTATAACAAAAACGATGATCACTTTAAAATCGCTTATGATCATATATTAATTCGAACTTTGGTACAAACATTTTGTGTTTTGTGTTTGCAAATGACACTAAAGTGTGTTCATAGTTAACAAAACCTACAAACTTAGAAA